ATGAATGTAAGAGTGGCCATTCGGTATTCAAGCACTGGCAATCTTGGATTTCCGAGAGTATAGTATTATGTGTCCTGGGTCTTGGGCTTTTGTCAAGCCTTGGAGCCGGGCTTGGGGCGCAAACTCTTGTAAGGGGTTGGGCTATGTTGGCTGGGCACAAGCAGAATCCCTTGAGCTGGGCCTTCCCGTTGTGGCGAAAGATTTTTAAAGTAGCTAGGCCATTGATAACTGTGCTGGGGCCGGCCATTGAAGCTAGGTCATGAGGGCACCGTCGGCAAGCGTGGAGCTGCTGTAGCAGGTGGGCTCCTTTATTTCGGTAAGACTTTTTGCAAGTCCCCCTTAAATTGCTTTCCTGGGCCTTGCCAATGTGCTAAACTTGAACAGATGTGTTCCTTGGGTGCCTTGATTTTGAGCAGGGTCTGGAAAGAAAATTGAAGCTAGGCTTGCGATTTGGGTGTCTTGAGCAAATGGGTGTGCCATTCGGTGTTTTAACAAAAACCAACCATGAGTTAGTGGGGCCGGGCCATTGTGGCTGGGGCTTCGGCAAGTCTTTGGGTGCCCTGAGAAATTTTCCAAGTGTCCTTGGGTGCGCCCTTAAATGCCGTTGAATTTGAGGCTGCTTCCCATTGGGTGTTTTGATAAGTTTAGTGGCTGGGTGCCGTTTGGCTCGGCCATCTAAATTGCTCCAGGCTTTCAGCTAGTTGTCATGTCGGCTTCTCATTAGATTGAAATGGTGGTTGGCCTCCTTAGCCCTGCAAAGTGATGCTGTCGGTGACTTGGAATATTTGGCACTTGCCAAATTGGAGCATCTTCAAAGTGGCCCGGACAGCCTTGATTCATATGCAATATTCATGAACCATGTTGTTGAATAGGATTGTGCAATGAATTACTTAAATATTACATGATCGTATGCAATATTTATATGTAAGAGGAGAAATCTTATCTTGTGGTGAGGATGTGCCTGGGAATTGCTCATATCAGAGAGGTTTGCCGAAGCTGTCGAAGGTGACACAATATGTGGCTAGGCACAAGGGTGCCAAAGGCAACACCAGACTTGCATGTCGTAGAGCGATGTGGCTAGGCACGACGGTGCAGGAGGCGACACAAAACTTGCGTGTCGCAAGGCAATGTGGCTGAACATGAAGGTCCCGGAGGCAACACAAAGCTTGCATGTCGCAAGGCAATGTGGCCGAGCACGATGGTGCCGAAGGCAACACAAAGCTCGCATGTTGCAAGACATTGTGGCTGAGCATGAAGGCAACACAAAGCTTGCATGTCGCAAGGCAATGTGGCCGAGCACGATGGTGCCGGAGGCAACACAAAGCTCTCATGTTGCAAGGCATTGTGGCTAGGCACAGGTGTGCCGAAGGCAACACAAAGCTTACGTGTCGCAAGGCAATATGGCTGAGCATGAAGGTGCCGCAGGCAACACAAAGCTTGCATGTCGCAAGGCAATGTGGCCGGGCACGATGGTGCCGGAGGCAACACAAAGCTCGCATGTTGCAAGGCATTGTGGCTAGGCAGGTGGGTGTTGAAGGCATGTTTCACGCCGGTTGATGGCTAGGTGCCGAAGGCATAACTCATGCCAAATGATGGCTGGGTGCCGAAGGCATCGCTCAAGCTATATGATGAAGATTGTATGGGTGTCGAAGGATTTTTTAAAAAAAAGAAGGCAAACACTTTGGAGTTTTTTTTTAAAAGAAGGCTGTTGATGCTCAAAATGGTTAGGCCAAGATTGAGTCCAACTTAGTGATGAGGTGTGATGGATGATGAATCAAAGTGAGGACCTTCAACATGTATGTGAAGACTTGGGCAAGCGATAAATGTAAAGGAGACAAGGTATACGTGGTTCACCCTTAATGAATGAGCTACGTCCACGGAGAAGTATGTTCTCATTATAATAGTGTATGATTACATTTGTACATGGGGTTGGACCCGAATATAAAGATAACAAGCGAGATGCCCAAGTCAGGGATCTAGAAGAGAGTCCCCAGCCCTAGGGTCTAGCTCTGAGACCCGGATCCTCCTCTAAGTGGAGAGAAGAAGTCCCCATTTTCACATGGATACTACTCCCTATTTATAGGGAGGTGAAAGTGGGAGATTTGTGTAGATTTCCGATGTGGGACTTTGTGCAAGTCACTGTGGTGGTGACACGTGTCTGCCTTGGTGCTAGTTGTTTTGAGGCTGGATATGCTCGGTTAATTATGGTGTAAACACTTGATACATATCTATATGCATAACTATTATTAATAGACACATGTGAAATATTAAAAGAGAAAGGAGGATAAATGAGCAAAAATATTTCCTTAAAAGTGGTGCGTCATGCGTATTTTGACCACCTGCTTAAATGAGTCTGGCTGACATACGACCAAACAATAGTCTTTGATGTGCTATCGGCAATTGGGCTATAACAAACCAAATTGAGTACGCGGACAATTATCCCAGCCCAAATAGTGTGAACCTTTGTAAGAGAGAGAATCTAGGTTACCTTTATTTGCTGGGGCGGCGGCCGGGTTATTTCAATTTTTATTTTTCACCTTTTGGGGCTCTTTTTAATTTTTATTTATTTATCTTCTTTTTTTTTTTTTGACAAACTTTTATTTATGTTATTCGCCATGAAGTAAAAAAGGTAAAAAAGTGGGTGTTTCAGAAGCGCGTGTGTTTTGCCTCTTGAGTTCAACAACGTTATAATGTGATGTGATTAAAACATCTGAGACGCTTTATCTTCTTCTGTGTCTGTCTGCGTTTGTTTTTGTTTGTCGAGGTTTTAGACTTTGAAGAGAGAAGAGAGGTTCTGTGGGATTTCGAAGGAGGCATGGCTTCAACGGCGTTATTGATTGTCGTGTTTGTATTTGATCTGATTGCTTTTGCGCTTGCTGTTGCTGCTGAGCAACGAAGGTCCAGTGTAAGTCTCTCTCTTGAAATTATTTCATATGGTTCTATATTTAGAAATTATAAACTATTCATGTATATTCGTTGTAAATTTTCCATATTTTTTGTTATCAGATTTAGGGGTTTGTTGCGGCCACACTTTTACTTTGGCCTTCAGACATAGAAAATAGTTGTCTTATTGTTATATTCATTGTCTGTCCATGGATATGGAAAAATTTGCGGGAAACATGAAACAGAGATTTTTAACCAAAATATGAAATGTGGTTAGGCGAGTTGGCTAGGGGAATATGCCCGCACCCTTGCATATGAGTTCAAATCTCCCTCCCTATAGATTTAAAGTAGTGTAAAATATCGCCATGTGAAAATGATATTAAATTTGTTGGTGAGGAGGAAATGATTTTTGCTTTGGAGATAGATCCGGTGCAGACTTGCAATGGCTAATTAGTGTTTGATTAGAGGGTATGGTCTGAATCTGGGTAATTTTCAAACCCGAGAAATCCATCAAACCGTAGGCTACGGAGGGAAATGTAGAAATTGCTTGTGAATTTTCTAAGGCAACTCATTTCGAAGATTCTTAATCAGCTTAACATGGATAGATATCAAAGAATAAGAAGAGAGAGAGGGTAGACTTAAAAGCTGACTATGAATCTTAAGTTGGGATTCACAAAAGCCAAAGAAAGGAGATAAATCTCATAAGATGTGTGCATCCTCAACGTTCTACAAGAATTGCAGTGAGTGATAGTTCACTTCTAAATTTCCAGAATGGCGTAAACACTCTAATATCTAATTTTTCTTATAAATTATTAGCATCAAACTGGTTTCTCCTACAATTGGAACATTGTTAGTTGAAGTAATTGAGTAACTTCAGTCTAACTGGAGCGCATGTAAGATTTCCTATGTGCTGTCGGGTAGTAATTCATCTATTATTCTCCCTTGCAGGCCAAGATTCAAACTCTAGCTAATTCCAGCTATTGTGCATATGATTCTGACATTGCAACTGGCTTAGGTGTGGGGTCGTTTCTGTTCCTGTTGGCAAGTCAAGTTCTTATAATGGGGGTAAGTCGATGCTTGTGCTGTGGAAAGGCTTTGAGACCCAGCGGTTCTAGGTCATGGGCAATCATGCTCTTCATCACCTGCTGGTATGTGCTCTTATAATTTGGTCATCCTCAGAAATTAAATTGGTTAATAATCTTTAGACTTTCACAAGCTCATAACCGGACGGTTAATCTTAACCCTGCTTACTGGCATCACATTGAAACTTCAGGGTGTTTTTTCTTATTGCTGAGGCATGCCTTCTTGCGGGTTCAGTGAGAAACGCGTACCACACCAAGTACAAGACTCTGTTTACAAACGAAAAACTTTCGTGTGAGACATTGAGGAAAGGAATCTTTGGGGCTGGCGCTGCCTTTGTCGTCTTCACGGGGATATTCTCCGAGCTTTATTATGTTAGCTATTCCAGGGCTAACGAACTGGAGACTCCCTATAGCCGAGACACTGGCGTGAGGATGCAGAACCTTTAAAAACCAAATTGAGGGAACTGAGAGTGATATTCTATTGTCAGATGTAGTTGGTTGATTAGCAACTGTAGTGCTCATCTTATGATGTATGTACTTGACTTAACAGAACGCATTATGATTGATTATTTATGATTTATGTATGATATGGAGTTTAATTGGATGAGAATTTTACGCTATAATTAATGTCTGGCACCGGACTATTTTGTCCTAACCATATCTTGTCCCTCTCATAATCTCATTAAAGCACTATCACTGGACTGGTGCTTTTGGAGCCATCCATCAATGACAATTTGCTTCAGAATTCTATTTGTATTCAAACTAATGGCTGTTTTTTTTTTAACCCTTTGATCTGAGATGAACCTACGTTTGAAGCATCTGTCTCAGAATTGTGGCCCCAACATGCACATGGTAGTCTCTAGAACTAGAGTGAAAAGATGAGAAGAGGACCCCTTTGCAATGTGATCAAAGAAAGAGCTTTATGAAGGATCAAATAATATGAAACAGATTCACACATTTTCAAGCATACTTTCCTATAAGAACATCAAAAATAATGTTTGGAAAATTACTTTACAACCCAAATTTTCTGTCGGGACTTGAAGCAAAGCATGATTCTGAACCAGTGGTCATAAAATATGGGCAAACAAATCCATGTAATCTAATTCAGATATCCAAATATACATTACATATGTATATCCACAAGAATCTTCCATCTCATTCTCTTCTGTCTGTCTGTCAGCCCTCCTGTAGGAGACCCATTTCCCTATCACAAAGCACTCACTTACACTCTATCAATTTTCATTCATATTGTAATAATGAACAATCTCAGGAAAGAGTTACAAATTAATGGACATCTTAATTCTTAAGAAGAAAAACCTATAAATAAATAAAAAGAAGAAAAAAAGACAGCTTCAAACAGTCTACATCTCTCTGCATAAATTTAATAACTAGCAGAAATTATTTATCACCTGGTCAAGTAGAAACTGTGACAAACTGACAATGACATTAAGAGAAGAAAGAGACTGTTTCCTCTGCCTCATGAACACACCCAATTCAAACAGAAACCTAATTCCTCTTATGGTTTTATATCAGAACCGTCCCAAGGCAGATTGAGATCAGTAGAAACAAGGGTTTCAATGTCTTCCCAGTTCCAGTCGTTTGAATACACATCCATGCCGTTGCTTGAAGTGGGCACTTTCCAATTAGGCTGAGAAATGTTGGGCATGATGCTTGTAATGGTTGGCTCCTCCATGGCTTTGAATTGATCCTCGGTTGCCGCGGTGGCGTAGTTATAAACATTTGAGGATTGCAAAGATGTTGAGATGGAAGACAAGTTTGTGTCAAAGGAACTTGAAGTAGTGCTAATTGAGCTTGAGAAGGGAAAGCTCAAGTTTCTACTCTGATGAAGGAAAGGCAGAGTACTGGCACTTAAACCCGGTGATGATGAGGACGAAAAGATGATAGTATTATCCAAATTCTGTTGAGGCAGCGCCTGATAGAAAACTTGAGACATGGGTTTCTGCTCTTGGTGATCTGTTTGATCAATTGCCGCACTGTTCGTGGTGGTTGTTGTGGCTGCAGCAGAGGCAGAAGTACTGTTTGATGATTTCTTTAGGCGCTTGTTTTTGCGGCCACCGCCAACAGGGACGTTCCGGAGAGTGCCGCCTTTGGTCCAATGCCGCTTGCAAGCTCTGCAGAAGTGCCTCGGCTGTTGCTTGTTGTAGTTGTTGTAGTAGCAGAACTTTGTGTTGGTAGATTCACACCTTGGGCACTTCAAAGGCTCAGGTTGTTGCCTCCTCATGGCAGAAGGTGATTTTGGGAGCTGAAAAGTCTGACCTTGCAACAAGCTGGCCTGGCTCCAATCGAGCCCATCACTAGAAACTTGCTTGGTACTCAAACCCATCACCCTGAACACCCTCAAAACCTGAAACCACAAAAATTAAGATCGATCCTGCAAGTGAAGATGAAGATGAAGATGAAGATGTATGTCTAGCCCTTGAAACGAGGGACGCGAAGAAGAGAAAGAAATCTGAAGAAGAGGAAGAGGATGAGGTTGATGTTGTTTATAAGCAAAAGGGTACCGCGTTGATCAGAGGAAAGGGATGATTGTACGGTTTTAATATCAGGTGCAATGAAATGCCTTGGAAGCTGATGAGAATTGAGCATGTCTTTCAGTCTCCTTATCTTAATAATTTTAAGCTCTATATATATAATATATTTTATATATAACTATGAATACTATATCTATGAATGTGAATTGATAATTTGTAACAAGAGGAATAAAAAGATATGATGGATGATCGAAAATTTCTAAGAAAAGCTTTGTATGGTCCAGGATAGCTTGTGATTGATAGAGGTGGGGTTTTGGTACTGGTGGGTGGTGGCAGCCCTATAAAAATTATGCAACTTAGGTGACAATCAATAGTACCATGCTCTTCCTTGCTCAGCACAATTTTATAGAAGAAAACAATTCAAGTACTTAAGTAATAAGAGAAACAACGTGGACTAGAAGGGAGAGGAGAGAGAGAGAGAGAGAGAGAGAGAGAGAATTACTTAACCCCGAAGGTGAAGGTGGGTTGTTGACATGTGGCTGCTTCAACGCCATCGATAGTGCTCTATATGTTGGCGATGTAAAAAGAACATATACTACGTAGCTAGGCAATACATAATTATAATAATTTGAACAATTTTTGATAAAATAATATAGAAATTTATTAAATCAACGGAGAATAAAGGACTAGGAAATGAAGCAAAATGTGTCACACGATGATCCTCTAGATAATATTGTGTCCGGCAAATACCATTTACAACAATAATTTTAGAAAATTTGGCCATCAACGTATGAGCAAAGGAATAAAAGTACACTACGGTCCACGGACTAGTCGGCTCTCGTCTTCATCAATCAAGTGTTTGTTTATATAGAGGGGTGGCCGGTAGACCCCAGTTCTGTAGGGCTGAAAGTGAACACTTGAGCATCACGTGGTCACAAATGGAGGGTTTTGATGATCCTCTGGCCCTATGGACATGTGATTACATGTTGTAGATAGGTTGGCGTTATGTGTTCATATATATCACATCCATGCACCATGCAATTCTGCAATGTAGCCAGAACCCCCAAGGGGTTGTGTTATTTTGTGGCCCTAGGATTTTGTTTCCCTCTGATAATTTTTCATTTTTTTTGGAGAATAAAATTGGAACGTTACAGAGAAAATTAACATGATTGTTACGCACAAGATTACATTTACAACAATACAAAAGTTTTCATCAGAATATGTTGGAGTTGGCCGTCAAACAAATAGGACCACGAGAGCCACGTGCGCGTATGTACTTTAAGGCACCACGGGAAGTGTAAATTAAATAATTTGAAGCAAATCCCATCTTTGTTAGATCAAAAGACAGAGTGTGAAAGGAATTGAAATGAAACTTCTTCACATCGAATGGTTAGTTAGGTAGAGGTTCTTGTTGTGTAGTCGCCTCCCACACACATATTTTATTATAATCCAAAAGGAGACGACAGAATATATGTCGTAAACGAGTTAAACTTAATGCAAATTAAGCAGAAGAAAAGTCTTAATAAGTTAACCACAGAAACGAAGCCATCATACCACATTCGTAATTGAATATTAACAATTTAATCAATCTCACTGACCAAATGAAGAATTGCAAACAAAAAGGCTTAAAATATGTGAAACGCATGCCATTGCCAACGCTTGGTGGCTCGTTTTATTGTTTACTATCGTTGTCACTAACTAAGTTATATTTTCCATGTGGGGGAGGAAGAACCAGGAAGGGGGTCCAAAGATGATTGCTCCACGTGTCGCGATATCATTGGTTTGAAGGGGACCCGGGGTTGGACCGGGTGTGCAAGGGATGATGGTTCCCAAGGGGAAACGTGGATCCAAGTGTTTAGGGTTTGTGCATGCAACATTAATTATGGTCACTTTGATTAATTTGACTTATTAACGAGTTGTTAGCTAGTCAGCAATCATAAACATCATTTTCAAATTTCAATTCCCTGATGCTGCATTTGAGCGTTATTTTATGGGAAAGTCTTGTGATTGAACTTTGTACTTGATTTTCGAGTTGATTTTAACTCTGGAACTAATTCACGCGTATGTATGACTGACTGACTGACTGACTGACCGATGATACCTCCGTATTGAGAGGAGGAAGAGAATTCGTAGGTCAAGGAAGCAATTGTGACACACAAGAAATGGGGTGTGGAATATGAAGCTGGACTGTGGACATGGGGCCTAGTCGGCTTAGATCTAATAATCTTTTTTATAGTGGTAGAGTAGAGGGAGGTGATGGTGGGTCCATTATTTGTTTATCGTATGCATGGAATGGAAGGATGGAAGTAAAACATAATATAATTGTTTCAATTGTAGTAGTCAAGCTGCTCTCTGATGCAGGCTGGCTTCGTCATGCACAATTATAATAATTTGGATTATCTTATCAATAATCGAGCCGACTGAAAACCCTAGACTGAAATTAGGCTTTGTTTGGCAGCCCCTTCAGCCATGTCCGCCAGCAAATTGTCACATGTGACTTTTGAGTCTCATCACTTTTGCCTAATACTCTTGTAGTTCAAATCTAATCATAATATCAAGGCTATCCCCATATCAATTCTATCCTCCTAGAACCCACAACAAACCGCAAGGAAAAAGACATACAAATACCAAATCTATATTTATCAGATGCAAAAGTTTTTTCCTTCTTTTATACAAGCAATATTAAAGGAACAGAGAATTAGATACCAGATCTCGAGTGTAAGAGTAACTAATTTTTGCTACTTGAGCTACAAACTCCTTTCATACTAAGTACCACAATTACATGAACTCATTTCTTAGTGGCGAAGTAGATGCATGAAACACAAAGTTGATCTTCCTCACCACGTTCACTTTAGAATCTTACTTTTCTTACCTTTACAATCTGCCAAGGCCCTCTCTCTCTCTCTCTCTCTCTCAATATTATAACATTTGTCGTATAGATGTGGGCCCATGCCTATATTTTATGTCACCACTCGACCTTTACAATCTGCCAAGGGCCCCCCTCTCCCTCCCTCTCTCTCTCTCTCTCTCTCTCAATATTATAACATTAGTCGTATAGATGCGGGCCCATGCTGAGGCATGCGGGCAACCATCAGGTCATGGATGCCCAAAAGGTTTTTTTAGGACAAGGTCTGCAAGTAAAAGAACAAAAGGCGTCCTTGATACTACTCGTGAATATATAAATTAAGACAAGGCCAAAGGGGAACAAAAGGCGGTTAATTATATATTATGTAGTTCATACAGTGAACTGGGGTGAAGATAGATCATATCTAAATACAATCACAGAAGTACAACTAAGTCTCAACACACACTCACTGGCACCAAAATCTTGTAAAATATCTCAACTTCAGGGTGGCTTCCAGCAAAACTTGATGAGCTCGGCTCTCTCCTCCTAGAACTTGAAATCCTTCTTCTTGTTTTTCCCTTCCTTTTCCTGCATCTTACGTTTCCTCTTCTTCTCATTCTGCACCAAAAACATCTCATTAGAATTTGTCAAAACAAGCAACCGAATACAAGCACTTCTTTATTTCTTGAATTCCAATATCTCTACACTAGTTCAAGGTTTACCTCTGCAACCATGTCACTGAAATCTTCCCGCTGACTTCGCAGCTTCTCCTCCTCCCTTGCTTCTTCATACCTGAGAAATACAAAATATGTCAAATTCACCGCTGCTAAGGTAATGGGAAAAAATAATCAACATTCTCATGTTTTTTCAACTTACTTTGCAGGCAAAACATTCTCCATAAGTTCCAATTCTTCAGGTTGTAAAGTGACATCCACTTTATCTGCTTTCTGACCTCTGAGCAGATCAACCTAAAGATAGAAGCGACAAATGAATCAATACATAAGAAAGATAATTAAATAAAAAAATTGGTGGCAAATACAAATTATACAAGGTACTAATACATGTCACTAGCTTTCTTATAGAGCTTAATTAACATATTTGCCATTTTCTGACAGAAGTAGCACATCAAGCACATGCATTTCCCAATCAAATAATCCCCTCTTTTACACCCTCTAGATAGAGAGTTTCTTACCCTTTTGGCCCCTGCTTTGTCTTGGGTGCCGCTACCAACAACATACCTGTACACAGAAAACATATTAAAAGAATGTTTAAAACAAATACAAATGGAAAAACAAAGAATAAACCGGGACTATTTAAAGCATAATGCATACGTGTGTGTTGTTCCAAGCAGTGTCCCTGGAGCAATTTTTTCTTCTTTTTCTTCAAGTACCTTTACAAAATAAATCAGAAGAATTAGAATAATAATAATAACAATCAACACATGCTAGGCAGAAGTCTCCAATCACTGAGCTTACTTGGTATAGAGGCCTTTCAGGTTCCTTTCTCTGCTGCTTACGGAGGTCAATGACATCAGGTGTCTCAACACCAGTGGGAGTACTGAGAAGGAGGTGAGAATTTTAGTAAAAAGAACAACTCAGATATTACATCTATTTTCGTTGCAATCTTCAGTGGCAGAAAAACCAAAAAGAAGAAACTGGTTTTTGTGCTTAATAAAATCAGCGTATTAACAAAACCAAATCCGGAAACAACGAAGATATATGCAACTGCACAAAGCATATTAAAACAAAAATAAAGACGGGAAACAAAAGAAACATGATACCTTGAAAGGCTATCTACAGATTCAATACCATCCTGTAAATCTTCTTCCTCAAGTTGTTCTTCCTCTTCCTCTTCTTCTTCCTCCTCTTCCTCTTCCTCCAAATCACCCCAATGCTTTGTCTTATCAACAGGCTCTTCCTGAATTTTAGACGATGTCATTGTAATATAATCAGAAGAGGTTATGGTCTAATGACAATTCAGCAAAAATATCTAAGCCAATCAGAATTATATTCCATATATTAATGAAGTCCACCTAGCACCAAAGTAAAGAAAGTTAGCATTAGTAAAAGCAGTTGACGTCTTATGAACACCTAATGGCCACCTTGACACTCTTGGCATCTAAAGGTCGTGTGAAAATAGAAATTTCAAGACAAAGTATAGTGATCCAAATCACAAGCTGTACCTCATAATTAGGCTGATCTTGTTGCTGAACACCAAAAACATCTCCATACAACGGTTGCCCATACTAAACAACGAAAGACAAGTTAAATAGTTACAAAACCAATAGCTATATAAAGTAGTTTGAATTAAAACAAAACAAAAATAAAAATAACAAGCAGTTAAAAACTCACTTCATCAACAGGAGGCTTTCCCCAGCCACCAGCATGGTAACCAAAGCTAGCTCCAGGGGGGATAGGCGCATTCAGCCCGGGGATTTTCAGATGTGGATATGATGGTGGAGGACCATATCTCTGGAAGAAAAAAATTCAACAATTCCCAACATTAACAAATGTTTGCATACACCATAGAGTTATAAACCAAACAC